ACTTCATCGATGTTAAAGAAAATAATCGCAACCGGGATTCAATCATTTTTCCTGATAAATGACCTTTTATGGGATTTACATTCAAATCGATAATTCACCCAGTGGAAGACTCTAGGAATAGAAATAATAATAAAGGGTAGAAGTTGATGTGCTAAACTGCATTGAATCGAATGGACAGCGAAAAATTCGTGGCATTTGGAAAATAAATATAAAATATTGATTCACGTGTAGAAAAAATATGAAAATGAACTCGAGTATTCAAGAAATTTACTGATTCCTCAGTGACGAATTCTCAGGCGGTTTTACACCGAGTTGTCAAGAATCTCAAGGTTTTTCACTTGAAAATTCAAGTGTAATGTGCAATTTTGAATAAAGATCCTTGACGGCATGAAAGCCAAGATTTTTGTGGTGTATCCCTTGTTGAGGGAGTTGTGGTGATCGTAAAGATTTTAAATATCTTGGTACAAGTCTTCTCATGATGTTCACTCAAGGTCATGTCTAATAGTAGGTGGTGAACGCTGAACCAAAGACGAGGTAGAAAGTAAAATTGCAAAGACCGGGAGAAGGAATCTCGTCCGTTATGTTATGACGCTGAATATTAGACTTTTCAAGTCTGAGATAGATGGCGTCAATGCACAAGTCACGTTTTCATGGTGAGAAAGTGTGGGTGGGAGAGACATTCAGGAATAATGTGGGTCACTGGGAAATCGTCATTGTCGTCATGTCAGTCATCACCATTTCCTGCAGTATTTATTTCCATGAAAAACATTATTTCCGAGATTGAAATATTAACCCTTGGTTTAATTAAATTGGACAATTATTCATTGAGTAATCATCAAAAAAAAAAAAAATGGTGATCACATGCATGAATCCATATCCACGGACATTTTTCGAAAAAAGACATTTTCAAATTGATTAATTCTCTGACAGTAAAAATAGTAATTATTTTATAAAATGAATCTTCAGTCTGATGTTTGAATAAACGAAAAAGCACTGGAACAGCGGTAAAAAGTCGTTTCCACAAATAATAATGAAGATTTCGCATGCGAAAGCCATGTACGGTAGAATCCTGGGATTTCTGGAATGGACTTGAGTCTGGCAAATGCTCTAACGCAATTTCCGCAAGAAACATATAGCTCGATATGGTAGGATGAACCACGAGAACTCGAAGAGAGTGAAGGCATACAAAAGAACGCGTTGTGGCATTCGTAATGCATCCCGAGGGGCACCCAAGAGGGTGAAAAATAAACTGCAGAGAAAAAAAAA